CCATTACCTATGTGAAGTCCATGACCCTTCAAGGTCAAGATTTAATCAATTCATGTAAAGACAAGACTTTAGAGTTGATCGCTTGCAAGGATAGGCTCTTGGGCCCTCATCAGGAATTAGATGGTATTAAATCTTTGGAGAGCTCTCTAATGAATGCCTTGGCCTACAAGAGTTGGATATTTCAAAGCTGGTCACAACTGTGGATAGCGATTCTTGAAGACCATCTAAGCTAGAAAAGGCTTTAAGGAAGCTGGAGGTGATTTTTAAGGATAGGGATAAGAAGATTGGGAAGCTTAAAGAGAAGGTTGTCGGTAGCTTGTTGAGGGCTTCAAAAATTTCCAAGATTAAACATAGGTCAAGTTTCTAGAGCTCGATCTTTCCTCTGTTGAGCCAAATCTTCCTAAAAGAAGGAGCTCGAAAGGAAGTGGTGAAGGCCTATGCTATGGGAGTTATCGAGGAAGGTCATCTAAAAGAGAGGGTTGAGGACGCCGCAGTGTAGAAGGGGATCGAGTAAGAAGCCACTAAAGAGCTAGCTTTTTTTTTTGGTGGGACACTTGTAACACTTTTGGAGAATTTTTAAGTGTTTGAAACTTTTCTTCTTGTAATTTGAACTTTCTTTAGTAACGAAATTCCTTTAGTGAAGAACCTTCTTGTCTTTTGGTCTTTCTATTGTGCGCTTCTCCTCCATACTTCCAACAAGATGTGATGATGATGGGGACTTTCTAGGTCACATGCTCCTTGACACTTCTAGAAGGTAGATACCTTGCAGGGGTGTGTCTTTTTTACTTAATTCTTTATGGGACCTCCAAGCTATTGTGCCTGAGAAGCCAAAGTCTGGTTAGCTTTAGGCACCGAACAACATTCAGTGGCTCAGAAACATTATGAAGTGATACTTTGTTATGGATAAAGAAACTATGGAACTAAACAACTTGTAGCTTCTCAGGAGTCTTGAGAGCTAGCGAACTCTAGATGTTGAGTAGAGTTGGAAGCTGAAGAGCTCGTTCTGGCTAGGAAGTCTTTAGAACTGAAGATCTTGCTATAGTTGAAGGAAGAACTTGTTACAGTTGAGAAGACTTTAGGGCTGAATAGCTGATGACAACTAACAAGCATGAGAAGTTGAAGAGCTAAGTTTTGCTAAGGAACAAGGGTTTTCAATGAGCTATGTTATTTTGAGATTAGCTTTCAAGCTACAATGTGAGACATTGAAAGGAAGTGACTTCATAATTTTGCTCTTTTCACTAAGTAATGCAGTCGTGGAGCATGTTGTGCCCCTAGATTCTCGGGACCTTTCAATCACACAATGCCACACATTTTAGGGTATCAGACGTATTTAATGTGTGTCCATCGCTTTAGTTGCACCCTAGGAAAGTGAATCGCCAAAAAAAAACTATTTAACCTCTCTTGCCTCCTATTTTCTCCACCTTGTCTCTAACTATAACATGATTTTCCTTGTGAAAAAATTTAGAGTGAATATGTGTAGAAACTCCTTCAATTTTGAAGTTTTGCTCGTCCTTTGCCCTTGTCCAAGCCTTCTCTAGGTATGTTCCCAACCTAATTTTTTGAGTTAAGCCCTCTAACACTCGAACCATGGATGCGAGCTTTACATTGTCTGAGGCCAATCTTTCCAGGAAAAGAGATGTGTGTGGTCTTGAGGACCCAAGTTGGGCTGTTTTGATGGAGCCTAGTGCCATCATTAAGGCTCGATTTGTAGCCATCAGGGAACATTATAGTTTCCTTGGGGGGGGCATTGGTCCATGCCCAAGCCCAAGAAGGTAGTTGTAACTTTTGTCTTCCTTGAAAAGTTTCTTTCTTTAAGTCAACATGTGATGTTGGTTGTAGGTTCCCTCTATAACCTTTCATTATAGTTATTCTTTGTTATTTCAATATGTGCCCTTGAAAGGTTTCAGTGGAGGGATGGGACCTATGGTGAGTCTCCTTGTCTTTTGGTGTCAAAACAAGATAGGGTCTTCCCTTTCTATTTTTGAATTTCTTCACTTCTTTCGCTTGGTGCCATCCCCTTCTCCTAGTTTTTACCCTTTTTGCAAGGAGGGCTGAAGTGACTAAGTTGATCACCGACCTCACTTCACCTCCTAACAGTTGGAAGCATGGATTCTTTTTCGTGTCTGAGGATGGCTGGGATTTCGGGGGAGTTCATTTGTTTCAAGCTCCCACGAACTTGGGTGAGTTCACTTGTTTCAAGCTCCTTCTCTTTATCTTATTTTCTTTTTTGAATTATTTGGTTTTCTGTTCTAACCTACCTTCTTTCATGTCCCAAAGGAAAGACTTGTTTTGACCTCAATTGAGCAAGCTCGTGTTGCTCGGGCTGAAGCTTATGGTGAAAGGTATTTAAGGGATTTGGTAACAGTTGAGAACCTTGCTAAGTTTCAAACTTGATGATGACAACTTGAACAACTTACTGATCATCGTGTGGGAACTAATACCCCTCTAGGTTAGCATCTGAGAAGGAGATTTTCATGTTAAGCTAGGGTGTTTTCTGTACTGAATAGGTTTTGAGAAGAACTATTGAATGAGCTTTGCATACGTAGGCCTTGAGAGTTAAGCTAGTCTCTCCTTCTCTAGCAAATCCGTTAGATATGACTTGAATTTTTCTAATAGGCCACTAATGTAGTTGCTGCTATTGTCTTTCCTAAGGTGGCCTTTGGGGTTCGCAGCTCAGTTGTCACCTTCTTGGGCTACAAATCTTCCCAAATTACCTTTTTGGATAAGGAATTTGATTTCCTTTTTTAGTTAAATGTATTCATCAGTATCATGCTCTTGGTCTTTATGGAATTGGAAGAACTTGCTTATGTCCCTCTTTCGATGGTCTAATCTCATCTTGGAAGGTCATGTCATGTATTTCTCATCTTTAACTTAGTGTAATATGTGTGCCACTAAGGCGATTAAAGGCATGAATTATTCTGGAGCAAACTGCATCTATAAGAACATACCCCTTTTCTTGGGAGATCCATCTCAGCACTTCTTGGGACTCTACTCTTTATTCTTTTTGTCTTCATGCTAGTTTGGTGCTGCTAAAGAGCTACACCTAGCTCGAAGGATATCTTACCTATTGATGTATTTTTTTTTCCTTTAGCTAACTCCTCTACCATGCTAGCATGCAGATTCTTAGACACCGAGAAAAGGAAGTCAAATGATTGGAGCCTGGCAATGAACGCAGCCAAGGCCAACTTGTCATCTAGGTCATTGACTTGGAGGGATTCCTAATTAAAGCACATCACACACTTTTTGCGCAAATCATCTAATTTATTTTTGATGCTCAGAAGGTAAGAGGTCGGCTTAAGGTGGCTCCTTATACAGATAAAGTGGAAAATAAACAGCATAGATAGTTCCTTGAAAGAGGAGATAAAAGATGCAGGCAACCTATTGAACTAAGCCAGTGCTGAGCCTTTGAGGGTGTTGGAGAAAGCTCTGCATTGGATTGGGTCCTCGTATCCAGGGAGCTCTATCTAATTTTTATAAGTGTTGAGATGATTGAAAAGGCCATTGGTTCCATCAAAAGTCTCCATGGTTGGCATCCTAAACTTGGTAGGAAGAGGGAAATGTAGGATTTTAGGTGTGAAGGGAGATTCTGTCTGTTGGACCAAAGCCTCAATTTGACAATTGGGCTCTATTATTGTCTATATTCTTTGCATTTCCTAGATCATTCTGGACTTCCCTTATTCTTACCTTCTAGTCTTGGTTCAAGGGATTCTGCTAGGGTTGAGGTTGAGGATTTTGCCTCCTTTCCTCTCTTTTCCTCTCCAATTCTACTATTAGCCTCATTCTCGCCATCTTCCTAAGCCTAACAGTGGTGAATGTTCTTGCTTGCTTGGCTTTGGTGGTACTCCTGTATCACTCCATTAAGAGGTTATGGAGGAAGAGGAAGATTTTGAGGGATTGCTTGTTGCTAAGTAATGAAAAGAGCAATGATCTATTGATTTTGCTTGAGAAGGGGCAACAACATAGTTTATTGGTAAGTTTCTGGTTCCTCCACCAGAGGTGGATCTGCAGGTGGAGGAGGAATTTTTTATTGATTTTTGCATTCTTCTTGTCAAAACCATTAATCAAATAAACAAAGAGATGATTTTGGATCAGAACAATGACTATCATTCACACATATGGTGCAAGAAATAGAAGCGTTGAAGTTTGATGTGTGTCGAGTTATGAAGTGTGTGTTTGTGGCCTGTATGATCCACCAAGAACTAAAGGTTTCAGTGGTTCACCAATCTGAACAACTCGACTAGTCCACTATTAATCGAGTCTCTTGCTCATGTGTTTGTTGTATTGCTTGAGGAAGAAGAATACAATGATTATAGAGAGTTCAATCCATCTTTTAGTAGTGGGTCTCTCTTATTTGTGATTTTAAATATTTTTTTTTATTCAAGATTGTGTGGTCCCCTTAATCTATTGGAATCATTTGAGGAATATTTGGCCGTTAGGGAAACTCCTTTCCAATGTCCACTTGGGCTTCTAGAAGCATTGATGTGGCATTCTTGAGGTGGTAGCTTGTGGCCCAAGATAGTATTTGCTTGTTGAGCACTTCTTCTTGCTCTAATAGAGTTGCTTGGATATCACTTGGTAATTTAGGAGTTGGTATACTTGTGCTGGATGGCCCGGGTCAAGTCATCCAAGCTGAGTTGGGTAATTATGAGTTGTAATAAACTAAGTGGAGTTATGATTTATAATATCATCAATTGTAATTGTGAGAAGTCATCCTGAAACAAGGAAGGAAAGTTTGTTACCCTTCAACGGTGTCAAAGTAGTAGCAGTAGTTTTCCATGCATTATTTTTATCCTTAGAAAAAATCCACTTTTATCAACTAGGCATAAATATTGCACCATTTGATCATGGTGTCAACGTAAAACCTAATCTGTGCTTTTTATTGATGTTAATCTAAATTATATTGCTAGTCTTCGTTTTTTTTTTTTTTTTTTTTGTTTCTAGTATTACAAAGTAATTAGCAAAACAATTGCTTATATTTTGCTTGGATTTGGGAATGACAGAGGGCTAAAGTATCACGAGCCAGAGTTTTGGAAATTTGGGGAAGAAGGAAACAAGTACTTCAGGCATGCTACTGGACAAATCTATGCCATCTCCAAGGACCTTGCTGCCTATATCTCTGTCAACTCGTACGTAGTTTCTACTAGACACTAGTCAATTTACTTATATTAAATCCCATGAAAAGGACAAAAAAAAAACTAGTTATTAGCCATTATTTCATGTAACCGTAGGGGTTGATTCATCCACATTTGCTCCATCTCAAAAGGGTTGGTTGCATTATCAATAGCGGCAAACCATTTGGGACTTTTGAGACCATCCCATAAGAATTTATCTAATAATTTTACAGAACCTAAGCAATGTATTTGTCCACAAATATTAGATGAGTGTTTTAAGAGGTTAGTGTGTGACATTAATTTTGTGCTTGTGTTTATGTAGGGTCATACTGCATAGATATGCAAATGAGGATGTTTCCTTGGGAGCATGGCTCTTTGGCTTGGAAGTTCAGCATGTGGATGACCGCTCCATGTGTTGTGGAACCCCTCCAGGTACGCAACTAATCAAACTTTGAAAAAACAAAAATCGTCCAATTCATTAATCGGAGTCTACTAGTACCTAAAACTATTATCATCCGTTTGATAGGGAGGATGGAACGTAAGAGGGAGACACTTTCTATCCTTCAAGGATATAATGTAGGAAGAATACATTTTCCTTCATTTGTGTTTGGTTAGATGGATAAAAAATAAAAAATGACAATTTTTTTTTTATGCTGATTAAGATTATGTGTGACAATAGAGTCGAGTCTTGTCGTGTCAGATTCGTGCTGAGTCATTACGAGTTTGTATCAAATATTAGTCAAACTTAACTTAACTCATTTAACTAATTGTGTCGTGTCGAGTTGTGAGTTGACCTATTTATTTTCGTATCAAATTCGAGTCGTAAAATTGTATTGAGTCAACAATTTTCACCCCTTAGTTAAGAAGGAAAAAATATTATTTTTAACTTAAATTTTTTATTTTTTATTTTTTTTTATTTATTTCCTTTTTTTTATTTTTTATTTTTTTTTAAATGTATATACATATTTTACCATTGTATTTTTATATGAAATTAAAATATACATAAGATATATAGACAAATAAGATACATTTCAACACAAATAATTAACTTTTTATACACTTTCCTTCCTATTTTGGAGGGATTGATTTTGGTGAGTTGGAAGGAAAGTTAATTCATCCACTTTTCCATCCTTCTTACTTTTCTTCCTTATCAAACATGATGTTTTATTTATCCTTCTAATTTTCTATCCTCTCACTTTTTTGTCATACCAAACGAAGCATTAAGAAGCAATTGCACGTTTTATTCTCATAGTTTATAATCCATCGGTGCACATAGTGGATCTGGGCTGGCTCGAGGGAAGGGGTTCCCTAAGATTTGAAAAAGTTTTATCCATATTGTTACTTACAGGTTTTTTAGATGTTTGGGATCAATCCTAAAAATTTTTAGGATTAATCTTAAATTCTCCTAAAAAATTGTATCCAACTCCCAAAAGGATGTAACCTTTTTCACACATGTAGTTCTATTTTTTCAACATCGATTTTAAAATGTTATGATTGATTCTATCATTGTTTATTATAAGTTCTCCCAAAAATTTTTTTACTTAACCCATAAAACTTTTAAACTTCTATAGGTATCTCATTTATTACCATAGTCTTATCACTTACACATACAAGCTCACTCCCTCAAATCTCTAACGTTCCGTTTGGTACTATGAAAAAATTGAAGAATAAAAAATTTGAGGGATAAATAAAACATCATGTTTGATAAGGAAAGAAAATAAGAAAAATAAAAAAGTGAATGGATTAACTTTCTCCCTCCAAAATCGGAAGAAAAGTAGATGAAAAGTTAATTATTTGTATTAAGATGTATATTATTTGTCTATATATTATGTATGCATTAATTTCATATAAAAAAAACAATGATAAAATATGTATTTATATATATATTTTTTTTAAAAAAATGTAAAAATAAATTTAAAAATATAAAATATAAAATATATAAAAATTTTAAATTTTAAATTTTAAATTAAAAAAATATTTTTTTTATCTTAACTAGAAGTGAAAATTTTCGACTCAACACAATGACACAACTCGAACTCGACACGAATTTTATGACACATGATTATAACTCGACACTAACTTGAAAATAACTGACAGGCGAACAAGAAATACAAAATGCTCATAATTTTATGACTCAACACGAATCTGACACGACAGGACTCGATTGACACCCCTAATTTTAGCCAGCACAAAAAAAATTTAAAAAAATTAGTCATTTTTATTTTTTATCCATCCAACCAAATATAAAGAAAGAAAATGTATCACTCCTACTTCTTTTCTACTTTTCTACTTTTCATCCTTCCTACCAAACGGAACATAAAAATTTGAAAGAGCTTTCCTCCTAAACTAATATCCACTATCAAACCTTAACCGTTTTATAGGAGTGAGGTCAAAATAAAATTGGGAAGAAGTCATGACTCCTTAAGTTCTAAAATTATCTTTTGACCATTCCGATTTTTTTTTCTTTATTAGCCAACATATTGAGTTGCTCCCCGGATAGTATAGTCTTCTAAATTTCACACATCTCAATTCAATATTGTATTTTTGTCCACTTTTTATTTGTTTCTTAGTTTTGAATTTCTAGCATCTCTCTTGGTTGCGACAATTCCACTTAGTTGGTTTCCCCAATTCACTTAGTTGACAAAGCTCTGTGATTTTGAAGTAGCATTAGTTTATCCTGATTTTGTATTAGATGTTCTCATCCAGACTCTTTCTATATAGATTGTTCGTTAAAGTTGCAAGCAGGAAATGTGTGTGTAGCAACGTTTGATTGGTCATGCAGTGGAATATGCAAATCAACGGAGAGGATGAAAGATGTGCATAATACCTGTGGAGAAGGAGATGAAGCTATTTGGACAGCCGATCTTTAATTTGACTTGTATACAACTAAATAATAGAGAAAGAGAGAGAGAGTTCTAGTGGTTTAGTGGCATTAGTTAATGCACACATGTATTGCACGTGAACTAAATTGTTGAAATAATCAAATACCTATGACAAATTGAAAAGAGATGCAACTCTAATTCCTTTGGAAATGATAAAAGCATTGACGCAAGAAGAAGGGATTGATTTGTATCATCTTGAGTTAATTCTAGTTCCTCTATTTTTCAAAAAATACTGGGTCAATGAGTTCTTCTACTTGTATCTATCTATCAGAAATCCCTCTAAAACTTTTATTGCTCACATATAGGTGAAGCACATACATCTTCAGATTTTAATGTTCATCTATTAGACCAATAAGAATTTGCACACATACTTGTAATTAAATTAGGGTGGTTTTCAAGGTCATGCAAATAAAATCACAATAAACAAGGATTCACGACAAAAAAAAAAAAAGTTCTTTATGTGCCATATACCTACATAAATCAGACTGATGAACAAACATCTTGAAATTATAATGTTCATATATTAGACTACTTAGGAGTTGCACAGAGACATCTAATTATAGCTGGGTGCTTTGACTAATCAACAAAGTTTTAAAGATAAGATATTAGATTTATGTTGTTTCTCATGAAAAACATTCACTTACATAGGCAAATGTATAACAAGAAAGGTCAATTAAAAGATTCCCACATGAAAGGTAGATTAAAGGATTACCACATCATAAATTTCCCACATACAATGCCTCCCACCAAAGTCTGCATTTGAATGTAAACTCTCGATTCAAGCCTCTTCGAACTATTTTCCACATACAAAGCTTCCCACCATTGTGCTTGTAAACCCTCTATCAACATGTTTCTCTTGACCTGGCCCACAAAATAACTGACTAGGATATTTCTATTGAAACATCATCAAAGTCGTCTTAATCCAAAGGTTGGAATAAATACGCCAAACTAAATCCTCATGAAAGTAAATCCATGTCTAGGATTCTTGAAGCAGAATCATCTCCATCCCCTGATGTATGTGGAGCAAATAGGGGTCCTTATAGTTTTCTTTACTCATGTCTATAGATTAGCATGCTTCTTCATTGGAAAGTTTCTTGTGTGCCAAGATGACTAACTAAAAAACTCAAATGATGGTTGCAAACATATGAAAAAATCAATTCTAGATCAGTGGGAGGTGCATTACAACAAAGATAGAAATAGGTATTATTTCATCTAATAAAAGCAACTGACTATGTATTAAGGGGAAGATAGAACAAATTCCACTAAGAACATTAGTTCATTTTCAACAGAGACTAATGATAGCACCAAGTAGGAGTATAACATTCAAATTAAATGTGGAACATAAACCATATAAGACCACTGAGAACATAGGCGAACACAAAGAAAAATGAAATCATGTGATCAACTGATTTAATCGAAACAATATAACAGCCAAACCGAAATGGATAGGAACGACTTTGATGACTTGGGTTGAGCCCGTACAATATAAGATGCCTTTGGTTACTAAGCTAAAGCTGATTGACATTATTTTATAATCAAATTGAAGAAGTCCATCGATCACATTTTACACTAATGAGATGCATAATTTTTTTTATATTTTTGGTCAAAAGTCTAAAATGGGATGGATATTCTAATTGTAGTTCTTTCAATGTATCATTCAGTTTCTAATAGATACTAATGATGATAAAAATTGGAAAAATATAATCGTAAGAAGCCATGCACCCTTTCAAACACCTTTTGAATATCACATTGTATTTGGACAAAAAATCATACCCCTTCAAGAGGAGAAGCATAGGGCAGGGACAAGAAAGATATCAAAGCGAAGAGTGAGAAGATGTTTATGAAAGAGAAAAGAATCATAGCTCCTAGCCAATGAGAGGAAATAGAATAACTAACACAATTAATGGAGGAGAAATAAATTGAATAGAGGACATCTGGTTTGTCATTGACATTAGGACTGCATATATACGAATTTTATACAAAAAAGAAATGCACAGAAATGTAACTTTGACAACAAATTAATATTAAAAACTCATTATTGCATACATAGGTAGCCAATAGAAGGGGAAATAATGGAAATAATGAACAACTGGTAAATGTGATTTTTAGTATAGAGGGATTGCTAACGACTAATAATTACATAAGCGGTACACCACCTAAGGTAAGCTATTTATTTGTTTGTTGATCAATTGTCACTTGTATCTTCATTCATGCGATACCTTGTTAAAAGTTAAGCCAGCTCTATAAAATTATAAAAGACAGTTTTATGCGACTTATTTAAGCTATGAATATAGAGAGAAGCAAATTGAGAATGTAGGAAAAGTTCGTAGAAGATCAGTTTTGCACTTCCTAAGCACAACTTCTAAATGGACCATTACCAAAATCGATCAAAACCTTCAAATTTTTTCGAACCCTTAAAATATTATAAGCCAAAAAATGCTAATTTTTCCAAAACTCTCACTTTATCTCCAAACGAAAGTCTAAACAAAACAATATCCACATACATCAAATAAAAAACACAAGGCACTAAACTTTCCCAAATCCAAATCAAACACTCACCAAAATGATTCTTTAACTTCAAATTCAACAATTCATTTCAATACTTCACATGCTAATGCAAACATAAGGATATATAAGAAATTGAGAATCAAGAAGAGCAACAGAGATTAACCTGAAACACAGATAGAACGATGAACTATTTAAGTTTTTGGGTAAACTAGTGGCATATCTTCTTTTGGCACAGATCTGCTAGGTTATTGTATCCATCAGGGAGCTCTAAATGGGCATTGCCCATAGACTCTAGGCATTGCAGAGCGGCAATGGAAGCCAACAAGAAGAGAGCTAATAATGGCATTTTTTTTGGAAAATTGTAAAAATCTGGTTTTCAGAAAACAAAGATTACAATAGAAGCGAGTGTATGTGTGATTAGGGTAACCCCTCATAAGGAGATGTGGTTAGAAAGTCATATTCTCGGGATAACTCCTTTTGAATTCCTATATCCCTTCATTTCTTTAGTTTTACCCAAGGCCACATTATAACTGAATAAAGTCCTATTTAATCTTGAGAATTGTGGCAGGTATATGTTCTAAATCATGCTAAAGATAGGTCAATTGTACTATTTTCATTTGCACTAACATTCTTTCATGAGATTATGTCAAGGTTGTTTCATTTGTTTGATTGTCCGTCATTTCTAAATTATATTTGAACTATACTTTGTTTTAAATTACAAGAATCTATCTCACATAGAAAATTAGAGTATTTTATGTTTGGAGAAATTTTTTTTGGTGAGATGTGCATCAAAGCTAATTTTGGATAGCTAATGTAGATGTGGGTTTTATTTAGTAAATTTCTTAAATTGCACAATCATTTCACACACGAGTTTCTAATGGAAATGTGCATGTGAATACTTTAACATAGTATTTAAAAATGTGGTGTAGCTCGTGTAAATACCTTGAGTAGATAGGGATTTTTTATTAAATCTCTTGTTAATTAGGATATAATAATGTGTTCTAAGTTTCAGGATGCAATAAAAATAAATTTGAAGGTACCTTCACTGAGACAAAACTCATCTAATAAGGGTAACCTAGAAGTTTAACAGTTTGTTACATCTGCTAAATGCAACCCGTGAATCCTACGAAAATAGTTTTTATGTTATTAGTGTGTGTTTTATGTTTTCATGTTTTCTTATTTTTGGTTTGCTAGGGATTAGTAAAACTTAAGTTGGGGGGATATGTTGAGCACAAAATATTGCATATTTCATGATTTAATCCTTCCACTTTGTACATTTTTTGTTTGTTTATCTTTATTGATTATGTTGGAATTTTGATTAAATGTGTTTATTTGTGGTTGTAGGTGAAAGCAATGCCAGTAAATCAACAAGAATTAAGGAAAACACACTTAAACCAGTTGATGATCAACTGGTGGATTAGATCATAAATAGAACTTCAACTGGTTGAAGTTCACATTCAACCAGTTGATCAGAGATTTTTGGAGATAATTGAACTATTTGGAATACTAAAGTACTTCAACCTGTTAAACTCCTATCTTCAACCGGTTGATCAGAGAACTTCAGAAAACCAATATACTATGAGTGTTTCAATCGATTCATTGAAGACTTCAACTGGTTGATCCTAAGTCAGCTACACAGAAAAGCTCTCCTGAGTTCTCATTTGTTCACGGAGGTCAGCTAACTTCACTCCTACACTCATGGAGAGGCTATCAATTCCCCTATTGGTTGAAGGTAGCTCCCACATTTCATGCGAGAAACTTCTTCGAAGTAGCATCCACCACCACGCTACTTGCTTTGGCCAATGCGGAGGAAGATGATATGGGTCATATATATGTGTGTTTCTATGAACAAGAGAAAGTATTTTGCTTAGTTTAAAGCACTTAGTTTTAGTTTTTCATTTTAGTTTTACATTGTGATAGTTTTGTCGAGTTACGAGTGTATTTTATATTTTTATTTAAAAGCTTTGTTGTTGAATCTTGTTCTTGTATTTGAACTTACCACTTTGAAGAACTTTTATTTGAAGCTATTCCATTCAATCTTATTGTTCATTTACTTTTTCTTTTCATATTGTTTGTTGTCAATTTTGATTTGATGGGTCTTGCTTCTGACTAAGTTTCAGCGCGATCTGAAGGTTGATTCTCACGTGTAATCAAGGAATATCGATTCTCTAATGTATTCTAACCAATAGAATGCTTTGTAGTTGGAAACTCGTTATTGTGTGACCACTTTAATTTCTCGTCGACGGATCTTCCGACATGGGTAATGTTTGGAGTTCACATATACATTGGAGTATTTATCTTTTTAGCTAGAATTTTCTATCCACAAAGCTACATGTTGTTTAAATCTGGTCTTAGTTGAATATTTTCGATTCAAATGAGTTTGAGTACAAGTTTAGATGAGTTATAAATGAGAATTAAATAGCTTGATTATGATTAGATGATTTTCAAGGATTGGCCAATTGTTTTCCATTTAATTTTAATATATTTGTTGCTACTCTCTCACGTCTTTTCCACAAAACCAAAGGATTTTATTTTTCTTTGTAAACATATCATCATTCGAATTGCCTATGTTCCCTTAGGAGACAATATCAGAATTTCCGAGTTACTACATTGCAAACTCTTCCTACACTTGGGAAACACATTTATACATTCAAAGGAAGACGACAAGCAAATACAGCATAGTGGTCACAGTGACCCTATAGATGACTCCTATGGCATTAAGGACAGCTTGAATGTGTTGAAGGCTATGGAGGATGTTGACTCCTAGAAATATTTTAGTACTTGTGCAAAGTTCAAGGACCGTGATTGGTGACACCAAATGTTTATTTAGATGTCTGCACTGCGTAGGAAGGAGTGGGTTGACATACTAGATTAAGTGTCATTTCGTTTACTTAGTTATATATGATACTATTTGGGCATGGATGTCCACCATTGACTAATTATTATGTGGTTTTCTAGCTTGTAGAACTTTAATGTGTAGTGTTAAGTACTTGTTTGATGATATAGTGGTTACTTTAATGGTAATTATGCTTGGTTTTATAATTTTTATGCATTATAAGAGTAGTGTTTATCATTTATGTAGGGAGGTATACAAAACTGCATGTCAACCCACCATTGTAACTATTTGCTGTGCAGTTCATAATTTTGTTCTTATGCATTCAATTGGTGACATTTTCTTTTCAGAGGTTTGAATTGAAAACGTGTCATTAGATAATTATGGACAAAATTCTAGCAACTAGCGATTCAGTAAATTAGACATGTCATCAATACAACTCAACACAACGCACATGAGAGATACAATGGCTCCGAACATGTGGGCTACGAATTTTCGTGGTGGTTGAACTTACATGATGTTCAAGTGTTATCAATATTAAACTTCAAAACATAATATTAAGAATATGCGGTTCACCTATAACTTGTTTTTTTATTACATGCTCAATGTACTATCTATGTTGGATCTTATATTTTATGTGTAATGATATGAACAATGTGGTTATATTTGATCTATCTAATATGTTGATTGCAATGCATGTCACTGGTATTTGTATTTTTATTGATAAATCACAGAGCATATGAATAATGCTACAAAACCTTTATGTGCATATCGTGCTGGCCACATGAGGGTTTTCAGAGTTCGTACAGTAAAAAATGGTGGACATTATTTTTATAGTTATCCAGTTGATAGAGACCATAGATATTCATTTCTTTGGGTTGATGAATACCAACACCACTTGGACCTTGTTCTCCATCGTAAGTGTTGACTCATTTGTTTATATTGTGATTGTGATGTCATTAGTAATTCAGCTTGTTTTTACTAATTTTACTTGTGATCAACACGATGAAAAAATAATCATCTCTCTCGTTGTAACATTATGTTAAACTCTTATGTATGAACAATGGTGTGTATTATGTTAATACTGCTAATATGATCTTATGAGTACAACAAATTTTCATATTAATTTTTTTTTCACTATAAGAAAATTTTGTGTTGATTTTTATCAAGTTTAACATACTGAAAAAAAATTATGCAAAAAAGTTAATCCAAACAACATCTTTATTTTCATTATTTTATGTCTTACTATCCAAACAAGTTTGTACTATTTTTTGTTTCGTAAAACTATTTTTACAATCATATAACCAAACACGTTCTACGATACAAAAACTCTTTTTAAAAACTATTTTACATAACATATTTTTAAATACTATTTTTTGATATGCAAACTAAACACCCCCCCTGCAGTGACTTGATTATTTCTTTTCTTTTCTTTTCAAATTCCCATCCAAAACATGAGCAAGCTTTCTTTCTCAAAACCTCAGTGGCATTTTTTATCCTTTTGAAATGGCTTGCATTAAATCCAACTCCAGCTCCCCCTTTCTTTAACCCAACCCCATCCTCACCCTCAAAAAAATAATAATAACCCCATTCCGGAAAAAAAAAAACGAAAGGAAAAAAGAAGTGAAATAAACAGAAATAGAAAAAACACACATTCCCCACGAATGGAAAAAAAGGGTCTGTATTCCAAATAGGGTAGTTACCAGGTTATCCCAATCATCGGCATCTAACTATACTATTTTCTCGCTACATGTACAAGCTATTGCTTTGTAGCGGAAACAGAAACTTCCAACACTTCCATCTAAAACGAAAAAAAACAGAAAATTATATAAAAATGACAATTTTCTATGATGCAAGCAACGGCCTTCACATTGTACAGCTATATAAATACCAAGTTATCTTTCCCATGAGAAGAAAGAACATGATGGCATTTGTTTCCCACAAATGTATGCTACGGAATTTGAGCAATTTCAAGCAAAATTTTGTGCAATGACTGCGGCTTTGAAAAGAAAGGACAATGATCACTGCCTTTGATCTTGAAGACTCCTTCGGGTGGGTTTTGCCTCACAAGCTTTTCTTGGATATCTGGTGAAAGTGCATGATCATCCAGCGTTTGAATGAAAAACCGCCGGCTACTCCCATAGTTTTCAGTTGACAGTGACAGCTTCTCCATGATTGGACCAAGAGGAATAGGTCTAATGGAAACCATGGCCAAAGCAACATCCTGAAATTCAATCACAGGATGGAAAGCCTCACAAGCAGGATTTAATTTCGAATGAATGCAAGTGTGAGCATAAGTGCATCTATCATTAAACTTATCATCTGTGGCAAATCATTTACGCTGAATAAATTTTCCCAACATGCAATGCCAGCATAAGTGCATGTACCACGCTCATAACTTTTAAAATGTTAACATTCGTCCTATTACAGACAGCAAAATCCTATAATGTAAGATAAATTTTTGATAGTCAAACGGATGCCAAGCAGAAAGACGATTTTCAAAATTACTACAAAGACTGTCACGTATGTATAAGCCAGACACAAGACAAGTATTGTTAGGCACGAAGAAGGTTTGGAAATGGCAAGAAGATAAATTGCATGCGACAAACATCACTTAGCAAGACACTAAGATCATCACGCAGTAAGTGCCTTTGCATAAACAGGTTGGTAGGTGGGCCATACTAGAAACAAACCTGACCTCCACTATATTTTGGATAAATTACATCCACTTCCCTTGAGGTTTTCCAAATAACAACTAAACCTCTCAGACATGGGTATTAACACTTGTCTCCCTGTCGGTTGCATCAGTCTTATTTTTTTTACCAGAACTAATAAAGAATTATTGCAATGCCCTCAACGTGAACGACTGTATTTATCAACCATTACCTAGTTTTGTGTGATATAATCACACAAAGTCGCATCATGCCATTATAAAACATACAGAAAAATTGTTTTCTGAAAACAAAATACAATCTATCACCAAAATCAAGAACAAACTTTGTCAATTCATCGCACTTGATCAATGTCAATTCATCGCACTTGATCAATGACTCAGGAAACGGGACAAAACATTCAACAATTCGTCATAATTGATCAATTCATCACAATGGATCTTCACCAGTTGAGCAAGTTGGTAGCAACACCAGAGGAATGAAATCACCCACCACCAGCCTCTCTCTCTCTCTCTCTCTCTCTCTCTCTCTCTCATCATCATCATCCACAGTCAGGGAGAGAGAGAGAGACCGGCACCCTGCTCCAACAACCATCCTCCAACTCCAACACCACCGAAACCCAAAACCACCCTCCGGCTCAAATCGCCACTTGAAACCTACAGCTCCCTTCAATGCCACCACCACTCAAACACACCTCGATCACCAAAAAAATCCAGCAGGGTTATAAATACAAGTTGGATTCATCAATTACCCAATAAATTAAACCAAAAGCACAGAATTCATCACCAAGCACAACCACTAACTCTTCAACAGCTTCTCAGCAGCTATGTAAGCTCACTAAAATGACCACCAATACCTATATTCGTAACTTAAATGGAGCTACAAATTTACCAAATCATCCCTTTTCCATTGCCTTCATCCTGCCTCGTGCCAAATCAAACGGCTGGATCACATGACCCCTAAACCCTACCAACATGTTTGAGAAGAAAGCGATATACAGGGAGAAATGAGAAAGGCATGGTAAAGAAAGGAGGATGAGGGGAGCGAGATGAAAGAAGTGCGACAACGGAATTGAGTGGAGAAATAATATCTATAACCTTTGTTAGGCAACCATCATTTATTTCATAGTTTGAATATGGTTTGCTTGGCAGCAAGTTTAATTTCTCTATAATTTCGATTAGGGCAATATTGGAATGTTTGAAAAAAGGGTTGCTTAAATGATCAAACTTCTGATGTCCCGTAATGGCATACTAACGATTGAGGGAACTCATTATAGACAAAGAAAGCAATGGGGAGTAAAAACCTCTAGGGAAGTAAATGTAATTTACCCCATAATGTTTCACTAATTTTTGCTTTTAGACTTGGACTTGTCTTCTCATACCTGATAGTTCAAGCAATTTAATATTGAACAAAACTACGAAACGAAACATAATTCACTGATATCGATGACACTTTTTCTTTTCTTTTTCATCTAGTCCATGAAAATTGCAACTTATGAATCAAAATGATAAAAAAACCTATATCACACAAAAAAAAATGTCGACAAAGACTCAAAGTCTACCATATCCTGAAAAGGGAATAGTTGCAATTGCAATTTGTCCATTGGTTGTTGTAGACTAGGTTTTTTTGATCCAACTCCCTTTCAAGAGAGTTTTTTTTTTTTTTTACACAATTGCAAAATGTGGGGGGCAACTAAATTTGTGGAAAGAAAGACATGACGAGGGAAGAAGCTTCAATATATTCTAGCAACCCCGTAGTTTATGTACATGAATTTGTAAAAACATTTAACTTTGAAAATGTGATTTGTTTACTAAAAAAGTATGCGATTTTAGGCAATTATCATGAAAACTAGCCACTTTCTATGTTCACTTATATAAAAAAAGTTCATATCATATTTTTTGTTTTTAGAATGATAGGAAGTTTATTGTAAATGGCGAGTTCTATGAGGTCACTATGTATTCTTGTATCTCAACTAAATCCATGGTCAAGAGGCTATTGAAGATTGAAGACCAAATCAAGGTATAGTGAAGAAGCTCAAGTTACAAAGCAATATGATGAAAACTGTTTGGATCTTATCAAGTTTAGGTAACGAAAGATGACCTAGATACCTAGTTACCATAGTTTGGTTTAATTTAGTTTGTTTAATTGGATTTAGAGTGTAAGTGCTTGATCTGATCTTGACTCATGTGATTTTGGTGTAAAAATGCTTTTGAAACTCTTAAGGTTTTAGTTTTTGAAATCATGTTTTAAAATGAGTCATGTTATGGAAGCTTTTTAGGTGCCACTTCTTGGTACTTAGAGAACTAAAATAGATCATTGAAATTTGAGGGAAAACCAATGGATAGTGCTCTCGAGAGTTAGGAATGGAATGGGCATAAAAAACAAAACCAATAGCCAACACCATTTGAGAGCTCGAGCGAACCATGACGACGGACAATAGATTTTGGATCAGAGATCAACGCTCTTCCATAGTGCACGAGCAATGCGTCGTTGACAAACTTCTCTTGCACACCAATTAACCTCTTATTTTCAATTCCTATAAATAGAGAATAATTGCGCTGCCCTATGAGACATCCAAGGAGGCTAAAAGATAGGCCCTTGGGTTTAAGACAGACAATAAAGTAAAGAGATAAATTACCCTAGATTAAATCAAAACTCAGTCTCTGCATGATCTACCATTGAATTCAAATGAGAATTTGAACAAGAATTGTTGGAGGCCGTGTAAACTTGCCAAGTCCACAACACAGAATCCAAGGAGGTTACCCAAGGATCAAAAGAAGGTTCCAAAGAGAGAAGAAGGACGATTCCAAGGACAGATCATGGAGCTCAATTCCTGGCCTTTGAAGCTAGTTATCAAGACGCATGCGGTGGATTTGCAGAGTGAGGATTCGAAGGAGGAAGCTTTTCACCATGGAATTGGTTGTGGTACAAGATTTCAAACTTGTAATTTAAGTTTAAAACTAGTGGGTTAGGTTAGGTGGACTATCGTTCCATAGTTTTTTCTAAGAGGATTTCCACATTAAATTGTTGGTGTCATGTGATTGCCATCTTTCACATACATGTAATTTTCTACTCCTTTTAATGTGTTTGGCAATATGTTTGTGAGAATTCGCCTTGTGTTGTTGATCATTCTAATTGCATAAATATTTCTTCAATTAGTGGAAGAAATTTAGAGAGATAAAGGTTGGTGGATTGTGTTGCATTCATATACATTAATTTAATTTGATATACACATTCACTAATTGGGTCAATAATCTTGATCATGTAAGGGTTAATTGAATTAATTGCATAATTAATTTGCAATTGAGTGAGATTGGTTTTAAATTGGGCATAATTTCGCGGTTTTAAATTGGGCATAATTTCGCGGTTTTAAATTGGGCATAATTTCGCGGTTTTAAATTGGGCATAATTTCGCGGTTTTAAATTGGGCATAATTTCGCGTATGAATGCATAAGGCCTATTCACCCCTCTTCTAGGTCACCATTCGTTGTGTTAGTGTTCAAGGTAGATCTCATATTTAGCACTCCCATAGAATATGGTCAAACTTTTTAGTACTTTTTGAAAAAGCCTTCAATTTGAATTTGTTTACGATATCTTTCTCTTGAGGACAAGAGTGCATAACAAGCGTGGAAAATGCATCACCTATAAATCCAAGGATGAGAAGTTTTAATAAATTCCTAAACATGATTAGTACGGACAAGGCATCTTCCTATGAGCTTAAGCGCTGGCTATGAGTAGAGAGGGGCTAAATTCCTAAGTTTTAGACTTTTATGGCATATCCAATGATCTAAAGGGGAAAATATTACCAATTTAATTCCTTCTAATATGTTAAGAAATTGATTGTAATTGGTTAATTTCGTGAGATCACGCATAATTATATCTCAACGAAATCAATGGTCATGATACCTTGAAGATGAAGATCAAAGCAAGAAAGGATGATGGAGTTCAAGCTACAAAGCCACATTTGAAGACTTCTTGCAATCCTCCAAGCTTTGGTAAACGTAATAACCTAGATACCTAATAGTCTTAAGTTGGTCTTTTATTAGTTTAACTTAAGTGATGAACCCTTGTTAGCCTGGCGTACAGCTCAAGCAATCACTGTTCACGTTGAGAGAAATTGGGAAACAAAACAATAGAGCTCGTTAGCTAACCACTCGAGCAATCTCCCATGCTGAGGTCTAGTCAGAATCCTTTTTTAAACCAATAGCCAGTGACTCAAGCAGTCTGTTGCAAATCTAAGTTTTCTTGAACCCCAATTAAACTATACTTTCAAGATCTATATATATGAGACGATTTATGCCCACTAGCATAAGTCTCAAGTAGCCTAAAAGACCATCGAAAGTGGCAAGAAACCCTAGGAAACAAACCCCTCTCTCCCACAATCCAAAAGGCCACAAATCTACTTAGATTAAATTTTAGCTATTGATTCCATCATTCAAGACATAGAGATCTAGTTGAAAACCCACAAGCACACAAAGTTTAGAAGATCTTAGGAGGAATCCGAGCAAAAGAAGTAGGATGCCAAGAGTGGATCATGAGACTCGATTTGTCACCTATTGAAGTTAGTGCTCAACAAGGTTCAAAGTATCGGCCGAGTCGTATCCGTCTCGGCAGCCACCGATCCGATAACGATACACAATACAAGACTATCATGAGTCTGCCATGAATCGGTTCTAACTCGGCCCAACTCAGTCTAACTCGGATTCAACTTAGTCTAACTCGAT